TTAGAGATCTTCAGAATCTTGTCTCAGTGAGAAACGCTCTAGACTGTAATTAGTTTTCTTCATCAAAATTTCCAAGTCCCAGTAGGCAAATTATAAAGAACGTAAAGTAACTCTTGAACAATTAGCAAGACAAATTGGTGACCATGTGATTGATTTGGTGCTTTTATTTTTCCTCCTTGGCCAGGACAGGGCCACAAGTTAATGATGACATCAAATGGGATTAGCCTGAACCCTAGTCCTAATCTTAAAGAAATGTATAGTCAAAAATAAACAAATAAATAAATGATAGCCAAAAAATCCTCTTAGATTGTAAATAGAAAAAATTACACACAAATCTCAAGCAACACATTTTATTTATATAAATCCCTTCAAATGTTGAAATTACTGTAAAGTCCCAACGGACCTGTGAATAAAACATTAGAATTATGAAAAAGACGTGTTTGCCCTTAGTAGAAGAGATAGAGGAATGGTTACATATGAGCTTTTTTGGCAGAATATCATTTACAAACATAAAAGCCTGGATTAAACAGAAGACAATTAGTTATAGAATAGTACATCTAATCCTAAATATAAAAAATAGTATATAAGAGTTCTTTGTTTTGTGTTAAATATAAAACCCAATCCACTTTACCACTCAAATTTACAATTCTTTTTCAAACTCTCCTTACACATATTAACTGTTGTTGTATTTTGTTGTTTTGGAGTTAAATTAGTGGTTAGAGAAAAGGAGGACCTTTAGTTCGGGGTAATTTAGAGTTTTTAAAATTTTATTTTAGTATTAGTCCTCATAAATAATTATAGTTTTTAAGGTCTCTCCATTAAATGTAATTTTATCGAGGTTTTCAACAACTTTTATAAATCCCAAACCGAAAAAAAAAGCAAAAAAGTAATGTAATGGTCAAAAGAAGGAAAACGTATAAGAAATTTACGCAATTTCCAATTTTTTATTCTTGTCAAAGGTACGCGCACTTGCGTTCGCATAGAAACTATTCCTTTGGTCCTATTTATAAGATAGAGAAAAAAATATTTTTTGGTTCTATTTATAAGGTACTGAGAAAAATTTCTTGTATAGATATACAATTTTATCCTTCATTTATTATTGTGTTGATTTTATTTATATGAGATATAATGTATATTAAATAGGAATGTTAGAAAGTTGTTGAATTTTAAATGAAAGTTAATAAAGTTTAGGTCTTCTTTGATTTATGTCAAACATATTGGAAGTAATTTATAAATAGGACCAGAAGAGTAGTATTTAGAAACCCTTAGCTTCTTCGGATCTTTTTCAGGGCAAGCTCTCGGAAATTTCTACCATAACAACTTTCTCTTCTACCTTTCATTTTATGGTTGTTATTTTATTGGTCTTTTCCATTCGCTGAGCCATTGAAAGATCTTGGAAAGCTAAGTGAGGAATTGTGACTTCACTCTATCCAGCTTTCTTCCATTAAGCAAGGCAACCGATCATGAAAGAGACACAGGAGAGTTTCATTAGTGGATCATCATCGTCATTGTTGTGATATTTGTGTGAGTGTGTCAAAAAAAAGATTTTACATTAATTGGGAATGTGGGAAGATAAAAGAAAATTGAGCATATTTTCTTCTTACTATTAAGAATAGGAAAATCAAATGTTAAAGAGTTTTAATGTCGTAAATGGATTTTCAATGCCTTAAAAATGGAGTGTTTGAAAATTCTTAATGGGTATTTATTATTTTAATGCGTTGAAGATTTTAAACATCAAACAATGGATTTATATTATGCAATAAAAACTCTTAAAGTGCCAAACGGATTGTTTCAAGCCATTTAAATGTGTTGAAGCAATTTCAAATCCTATACGGTCCATTCTTTCAATGCATTAACCGATTAAATATTAAATACTCTTTCGATCCTAAATATAAAACTATTTTTATAATGTGTATAAGAGTTTTATATTTAGGACCGGGTTAATATTAAATATTAAATAATGATTTTGAAATATTGAACAGATTTTCCATTTATTTCCAACGTCCATAATATTGCAACACTTGATTGCATGCATTCAATGTATAAAACTTAATGTGTTTAAGAGGCTACCAACGTTCAAAATATGAAACCTATAAAAAGGTGTTTCAGTCTAAGGTTCGACATATTGTCCTAGAGTTTTTGAGCTCCTCTCTTTCCCCTCCTATGTGTTCTTCTACCTATTGAGTTTACTATTATCTTCTGTTGTTCTGCTCACTCCGTTTTACAAAAAGAATCTATTTAATCCTGGGAAGTGCTGCATCCTCATTTGGTAGTGGTTGCGGAATAGCTCTTAAAGACAACGTCCTTTAAACATTAATCGGATTAACTGTTTATTTTACAAGTACTGCCGCCAACAATTATCAAGGCCGATCCGTGTTTATCTAAGCTACATAGGAGATGATGAAACTCGCAGATTCACACAGAGGCTTTGCGCTGCCCTTGAAACAGACGAGTTGAATACCTTCTGAGATGATAAGGAGGTTGAGCCAGGTGATTCCATCATTCTACCACGCCACTTTCTCAAAGCAATTTGAAAATCCAATATTTCCATTGTTGTCTTCTCCAAAAACCATGCTTCTCCTATATGGTACCTTGAGGAGCTCTCAGAGATCGTTGTATGAATCCATGAACCACGATATATGGTTTTCCCAATTTTCTATGATGTAGATCCGTCTGAGATTTAAAACAGTAGCTCTTTTGGAAAAACTTTTGCTAAATCTGGATATGCCGGGATAATCCTTTTTTTAATAATTTAAATCTGAATATGCGGGATAATCTCATGCTTATTATGATAAACAAACGGTATTTGTTTAAATAATATTAAAATGCATCGAATTCTATTTTATATTTTTTTATTTGGAAATAATACTATAAGCTAATAATGTACAGCTTCCGCCTTCCGGCAACCAAATAAAAGAGAGAAATTTAAATACAAGTGGAAAAGTAAGAAATCTATATCACTGTAGTTTTATCTAAAAAAGATTAAGCATGATATTTTGAGACAAACAAAGTATTCAGATAGAATAAACAACATTAAATTATTACAATTTGATTTAGATTTTAAATGATATAAAATTCGAAGGAAAAGAATATAGGATACAGGTGATATATCCTGATGAAATATCTTTTTGGGGGAAATTTTAGACTTCATATATTAAAAATGAATTAATTTCATGCTTTATTAACACTCCCACATGTTAGCCTCACTGATCTCTTCCTCTTCTTCCTCTCTGTGACATAAAGAGCCCCCAATATTGAGAGACAGCTGATACCCCAGCTCTATGCTAACAGTATTTGTGGGAGTGTTTATAAAATGGTAAAATTGATCATTTTTAATATATGAAGGATAGAGTTACAACAGAACCGGATTTTCCTTAAAAAAAAATATTTTAGCATGTTGAATACGACTAAACCTAAGAATATATTGGAGAAAAATAAAGTAGAAATGAACAGAATTGTACATACGCATATATACCTGAGTTAATGCTTTGACACTGTGCCTTTGAAGCTTGACCTCAGGTGAGGGATCTTCAGCAAGCTGCAAAAGAACATCCACCACATCAGTGGCCACATAATCCTAACCCCTTTTGTTCTCTGTTCGTGTTTATTGATTTGAACTTTTTTAGTTGTCTTGGGTTAAATAAAAAATAAAACTAAATTATGCAGTAAAGTACAACTCGGGTCGAGGCTCTTGAGGAACTTTTTATTAATTCCTTAGTTAACTAAATAACAAAGAATTGAAAGGAGGGGTTGAAAAAGGATTTTTCAATTAATAAAACTAATTAAGAGAGTAAGAAATAAATCTAAACTACTTTTTTTGGTATTTTTAAGAAAGAATGAAAAATGCAAATTTGAATTGTAAGAAATCAATAACAAGAATGCTCTTGAGGAATGAATCAATGACTATCCTAGCTTGTTTAATGATATGGGAGTAACTTAAGTGGTTAAGACTGGTTTATATAAATTATTCCTTTTAAATTAATACTCAACTAGAACATTAATTACTTGTTAAATTCACTTCAAGCATAATTTTTATACAACTCGCATAAAAATCACACTAACAATGAATTAACAAAGGCATAAACATAAATATATGTATAAACCAAGTACTCAAACTTATAAATACCAATCCAAATCTTAACAATTCCAATCCAAACCAAGAATTACAACTAGCAATTCTTAACTTTAAACCAAATATAACAAACTTCAAACCAGAAATCATCAACAAAAGAGTCTAAACTAAGGATTAGAATTAAACTCCCCTTTATAGCTCCCAAACTCAAGTCATTGAATTCAATCCCAAAGAGCACAACAAACTCAGCCTCTCATAGTCTTGAACCAAGCTACAACTCATGCCAAAGATTCAGTAGCCATGAAGAATAGATGGAGGAGAAGAAAGATAAATTTGGAAGATTAAAATTGAAGATTAAAAGTGAAGGGAAGGTTATGAGTGATGGTAAGCGTGCGGCGTGATTGTGTGTTGAAAGGTCTTGGCGGCAGTGCGTATGCGGCTATGCGAAGGGTATGAGGGTGATGTATGAGTGTGGAGTATATGTGCGGTGCCTTGATTGTGTGTTGCGGTGGTATATATAGAAAAGGGATTGAGGGAGGTGGCCGCGTGAAATTGCGTGAAGGAGGGGATCTATATCCAATATCAAATCTGAAGGATCAGAGATGATTGGCGGCATTCTGGAATTCCTTGTTGCCCCTTTTTTTTCATGAATAAAGATATAAATAATAATCTGATGCCTTGATGCCCAAGTTGTTTGTGTCTCCAATTTTTTTTTTCTTCTTCCTTTCAGCTTTCTATGATCTTTATTTTCTTATTTTTAAGGCCTGCAAAAGATAAATTGGGATACTATCATAAAATCCAAAATCAATTTTAAAGAGATAAAAATATGATAAGATGATCTCCTATTAAATTTTTAATTTCATGTAATCAGTATTTGATTCAAAATACCTGCAATTAATGCAATTTATCCCACTTTAATTGATAAATATCCCCAAAAAGACATTAAATAATATATTAAAATAGGGATTTATCATTCATCCAACACGTGCTCCATAAACCTATCAAATTTCCCGCTAAAATCCTTCATTCTCTTTATATGACCCCGCAAGTCCAGAAAATTAATCAAAGGGAACACGTCCCCGATATTTGCAAACCCATTATTAAGAAAGAAAAACTCATCCACCAGGTGCCTGAACTCTTCCCAGCTAACAATCCCACCTTGACCCTTCTCCACGTATTTCTTCCCCAACGAGTTCAGACAAAACATGGAATTAGGGATACTGACAAGATTGATGCAACCTTTCAAGTTCAAGAATCTGAGCTTTGGAAGTTTAGCAACAGATGGATCAAGTTGCAACAATCCAGTACATCCTTCGAGCTCTAGCCTCTCAAGATCTGGAGCCCCACCAAAATCTGGCGTCTTTGTCAAAGTTTTGGAGCCACTTAGATTCAGTTTTCTCAAAGCAGGGAGCATCTGTGAATGGAGAATATATAGTACTTTTTGTATTAAAACAAGACACTTGGGGGATATTTAACAACAGGTAAAAGGTATCTATATTTGTTTAGGAGTTTGATTGGATAATTTCTAGTAATTTAAATAGTTAAGAACTAAAAGAAGAACGTGAACATACCATTCTGCCCTTCCATACTTCTGTCATGTTGCTTTCAGGCATAATCAGTTGAACAAGTGTGTCAGATTGAAAACTTGATGGTAAAGAAGTGAAAGGATATTGATGCCACGAAACATATCGCAACGTGCTTGAAAGATTACTGAGGGTTCCAGAAAATTCCACGTTACGGAATATGAGCAATCTAAGGTTGATCATATCTGATAAAGCATCAACCCTCAATGAAGCCATTTTTGGCTCTTCCAAATCCAAGGCTATAGCTTCAACTCCTTCCACCATCTAGGATTCTAAATGCATTTAGATATAGAGATGCTGAAATGTCAGATTATTACTTTAACTTCTCATTTTGTAATGTAATGCTAAAAAGGGCCATCAAAACTTACCGATGTGTATCTCTGTCTCTCACTAACAGATTCGATGTCATCTAGCTGAGCTTCAACATTTTCCATCACCTGGGAGTGTAAACGCATTTGTACACAGAAATAATGAAATGTTAGATTGTTATTTTAGCTTTTCATATTGTAATATGCTAAAAAAGTGGTATCAAAACTTACCGTGTTTCTTTTCTTCTCCATAACAGATTTAATGTCACTATAAAGGTATAATCGGCTTTGTTGATGCAGATATTGTCGGCGACTAATATCTCGCCCCATCGCTTGCAACATATTATGCATTTGTATCCTCTCATTTGCAATTGTGATGACTGATTTCCGAATAAGAATTTCTGTATTAACAGAGCAACTGAAGCAATCATGTAAAATTTCCTTCACACAGTTAATGTCCTTCCCGACAAAGAAACATGCTATGTCCAAAAACATTTCCTTACTCATGTGATCAAGTTCGTCAAAACTTTTTCTAAGCACCCTTATGATCTCATAGGGAGGAATAATTTCTTCTCTATCCAGGAAACTTCTCCATTCTGCAACGCTTTTTCCAAAAAAGGATGCACCCAACATTTCAATTGCTAAGGGAAGGCCATCAGCATATTCCAACACCCTATATATCATCCCTTCGAAATCATCAATCGGATATCCCCCTAGAAAAGCTTTGGAACAAAACAGTTTGAAACCTTCGTCCTTGGGACAAAAGTTTAGGTCTATAAATGGTATTAACCTCATATTTTTGAAGGACATGTTCATCTCTAGTTGTTATAATGATTCTACTCCCTCCGCCAAAACAAATGGATTTTTGAACTAAGTTCACCTCTTGTAGATGTTGTTCAAGATCGACACCATCAAGAACTATAAGCCACTTCTGCTTTATTAACCTTTTCCATGGTAAGAACTCTTCGTCTAGAAAATCCTTCGTCTCTAAATTTTCTGTCCTCAAATGTCTATGAAGAAGTTCTTGTAGAGTTATGTCATCGTGCTTTAAACGTTCACTTAGATTGGTAAGGAAATAAGAGGCATCAAAAAAGTGAAAGATCTTAATATATAAAACAGTAGCAATAGAAGATTTCCCCAATCCACTCATACCACAAATGCCAACAACTCGAACTTCATCATCTGCATTCAAATCCAAAAGCTTTTCTACTTCTTCCACTTGAGACTCTGTATCCCAAAAAATCCGAAGAAGTCATAAAATAGTTTATCTATTTTAGACTTGACTTCTTTAACAGTTTTTGAAATAACCTGTAACCCTGAGCTGAAAAAGAGAAAGTGGAACGGCAAATCAATCAAATTTGTTTCCTCATAAAGATCCTCTGCTATTATTGGTGTGTGGCTTTTATCAGGACAACTTAGAAATGACATCTAAATTTTTTAAAGTAGATATATATACACAAACTATATAACATCCATATTGCATCTGGAGTTGAGGTTTGCTAGTAAAACAGTTTGTTGTTTTGGCCAAAAGTATTCATGTCTGATATATATATATATAAATAGAGAGAGAGAGAGAGAGTAAAATTACGTACTCATTCCGCGCTTGCCAGCCAGGGGAACTGATTGTAACAGATGCGGACAATTTGGGCTTTGATGAGGATGATCCAAGAGTCGTGGAGCAGCCCAACATACTGCGAAGAAGCCAGCGAGCACGGAAGAGGCCTTGGAAACTTCGAGAACTAGAAAACACGGAATTGGGTATATAAGGACAGGTGGTTAGAGGGAAGGGGTGTGAATGATATTGTGATTTCCGTCCTGACAGATTCTCTGTAATCCTTTCCCCCTGCATTATTCTGACATTCTGTTCTTTCTGTTATTCTGTTTCGAGTGGCTCAATTCGTGAAGGCCGAATAAGCTCTGTAATTGCACTCTATTGATATGCATATATACATTCAGAGCTGTTAATTGCTTGCGTCGATTTTATTACACTCACTAACGTGACATTTGGTGCTTTCATTGAGAGACATATAGGGGACATGGCAGAGAATACACGCCTGAAGGAACTACAAGCTGATATGAAGAAGACGAATGAGTTTGTAGAAGGAGCTAAGGGGCGTTTTGACCAGATTGATCGACGATTCGATTCTATGGAATCACTGCTACATTCCCTAGTGCAGTCGATGGATAGCTGGAAGCAACAAACAGAATCGTCCCCACCAAGATTTAAGGAGTCAACCTCCGGCATACCAATTGTAGAATCGGTAAACTTCGGTCAGAACCCGCATAAAACCATTAAGGTGGATTTTCCACATTTCGACGGATCGGATGCGCTGGACTGGATTTTTAAGGCAGAAAGGTACTTCAAGTATTTTGAGATACAAGACCCGCAGAGGTTAATGATCGCGTCGGTACACCTTGATGGAGATGTGTTGCCGTGGTTCCAGATGATGGAAAAATCAGGAAGAATTCCGACTTGGAGTATATTCGCCAAGGCGGTAGAAGCTCAATACGGACCGACTCAATTTGAATGTCCACGGTCTCAGCTCTTTAAACTGACTCAACAAGGACTCGGGGGTAAACTGGAGGAATACAATCAGAAATTTCTAGCTCTAGCAAACCGGACCGAAGAAATCCCGGAGGCGGCCCTGTTGGATTGCTATCTTGGGGGACTATTGCCCGAGCTGAAACGGGATGTATTGCTGCAACGACCACCGACAGTATTACACGCCATGTCCATAGCACGACTATTTACAGACATGGCGACCACGGGATTTTCGGCAATGAAGAATTCGACTGGAAGTGGGAATATCCCGAAGGCTATAGTGCCTTACACTGGAGCTCGTTCCAACCCATCCGCAACGGGCCTGGGAGGAGGAAAGTCAAACTTACCTCCCTTATTACCAACGCCAAAAATGCCCCCCATTAAAAAAATGACAGCAGCAGAGATGCAGATACGGCGAGAAAAGGGACTCTACTATACCTGTGATGCCAAATTTACGCCAACGCACAGGTGCCCGAATAAACAGCTGATGTTATTACAGAGTGAAGGCGAGTCAAATGAAGAAGAAGATGAGACCCCTGAGATTATTGAAGCTGACGCTACGTTGCATCATTTATCGCTCTATGCGTTAAGAGGAACTCAAGGTCCAGCAACGATCCGATTTCAGGGCACTATTCAGGGAACGACGGTGCAAATACTCCTGGACGGAGGGAGTTCGGATAACTTCATACATCCTCGCATTGTAGCGCATCTAAGATTACCAATAGAAGAGGCAACTCCTATCCGAGTGTTGGGGGGAACGGGAGGCAAAATCCTAAAAAGTGCAGAAGAGGTCCGGGACGTAGGCATACAGATCAATGGCCACACGATTTTTTTGACCCTTTACGTACTACCAATCACGGGAACCGATGTGGTGATGGGGGCTGACTGGCTTGAGACACTTGGGGCCCACATTGCTGACTATAGCACATCCACCATCAAGTTTCTGCAGGATGGAGAATGGATTGCGTTGACGGGATTTAGAGGACCCACCGTGATATCAGCCCAATTTCACCACCTCAGTCGCCTGCAGCAAGTCGAGGCAGTAGCTGAATATTTTATGCTGGAAAGGATCATTGATGAGTCGGAACAAGGGACCGTAGAGCATCAGGGGGCACCGGAGGAACTCACGAATCTGCTTCATCGGTTTGCCAAGGTGTTTGAGAACCCACACGGTTTACCCCCTTCTAGAGGGCACGAGCACCGAATCGATTTATTACCAGGCACAGGTCCCGTGCGGGTACGACCATACCGCTACCCAGTCAGTTAGAAAGCTGAAATCGAAAACATGGTTTCAGAGTTGCTTCAGGAAGGATTAGTACAACCGAGTTCTAGTCCATTCTCCGCTCCTGTTATTTTGGTTAAGAAGAAGGATGGGACCTGGCGTTTTTGTGTGGATTATCGGGCTCTGAATGCAGCTACCATTAAAGATGCTTTTCCGATGCCAACAGTGGATGAACTCTTGGATGAACTATATGGATCGGAATTCTATTCTAAGCTGGATCTACGGTCGGGGTATCACCAAATTTTGATGCGCAAGGAGGATCGGGAGAAGACGGCCTTCCGCACTCATTTGGGGTTGTATGAATGGCTCGTGATGCCGTTTGGATTAACCAACGCCCCAGCCACATTTCAGGCACTCATGAACACAATCTTCAGACCATTCATCCGACGTTTTGTCTTAATTTTCTTCGATGACATATTAATTTACAGCCCCACATGGGAGTCCCATCTTACACACCTTGAAGCTGTTTTAAAGATTTTATTGCATCATCAATTATATGCAAAAATGCCGAAATGTACATTTGGCAGGCGGCGCGTGGAGTATCTGGGTCATATAGTTTCAGGGAATGGGGTTGAAATGGACCCGGAAAAATTAAAGGCTGTTCAGGATTGGCCCGTACCTGAATCAGTCAGCCAATTGAGGGGATTCTTAGGCTTGAGTGGGTACTATCGTAGATTTATTAAAAGTTACGCCCAGAAAGCAGAGCCCTTAACGAAATTACTATGCAAAAATGCTTTCATTTGGTCTTCAGCGGCCCAAATTGCTTTTGATAATCTGAAACAAGCTTTAACACAAGCCCCAGTATTAGCACTTCCTGATTTCTCCAAACCCTTTATCTTGGAGACGGATGCTTCGGGTAGCGGCATCGGCGCAGTATTGAGCCAAGAACAGCATCCCATTGCTTTCTTTTCAAGGCAACTCTCCCCACGCATGCAGAGGCAATCAGTATATGTACGCGAATTGTACGCCATCACTGAGGCGGTGGCCAAGTTCCGGCACTACCTCTTCGGTCACCCATTTATCATTCGAACTGACCATGCTAGCCTTCGGCATCTTACAGATCAAACCATTCAAACTCCTGAGCAAGAAGCATGCTTACCTAAGCTATTGGGATATCAGTTTTCTATCGAATATAAGCCTGGACGACACAACCAGGCGGCAGATGCCTTATCCCGTGTCACTTGCATGGCCCTGTCTGCAATCAATGATCCCTTGATGGATATGGTGGCTCGGGAGACTCAGTCATCGGACGAGATACAGGGATTAAAGAAAAGAATACAGCAAGGTGATAGTGTTGACCCACACTATAATATTCGGAATGGAGAATTATATTGGAATAATCGGTTGGTGATCCCCAATGATAAACCTCATTTAATCCATACTATTCTGACCGAGTTTCATTCGTCAGTCGTGGGAGGGCATGCTGGTTTTATGCGAACTCTGTACCGGATCGCTGGTATATTTTTTTGGAAACACATGCGCCGAGATGTACGCCACTATATTCGTAGTTGCTCTGTCTGTCAGCAAGCTAAGGTAGCGCAAGTGAGTCCTGCGGGGTTATTACAACCGTTACCCATTCCAGATCATATATGGGAAGACATTGCGATGGATTTCATTATAGGATTACCGGCGGTTAATCATTATGCAGCAATTCTGGTGGTTGTGGATCGCCTATCCAAATACTAACACTTTATTGCTCTTCCGGGTAACTTCTCGAGTATTCAGGTGGCCGAAGCTTTTGTTCAACATATTGTCAAGCTCCACGGTCTGCCCAAAACCATCGTGTCTGATCGTGATAAGGTCTTCATGAGTGCTTTCTGGCGCCATTTAATGAAATTACAGGGGACGAAGTTGCATTTCAGCTCCGCTTATCATCCCCAGTCAGACGGTCAATCTGAAGCTCTTAATAAGTGTCTTGAAATGTATCTACGGTGCTTTGTTCATGATTATCCACGACAGTGGCTTCGATTCTTACCATGGGCTGAGCTGTGGTATAACACTTCTTTCCATCATTCGACGGGAATGTCTCCATTTAAAATAGTATATGGTAGAGAGCCGCCACCTATCATTCGCCATTCTTCTCTTGAAGATACTCCTTTTGATGTGCATCACCAATTGGAACAAAGAGACGAACTCCTGGCTATTTTGAAGGCCAATATTAAAAGGGCCCAAGACAGAATGAAGAGATACGCCGATGCTAAACGGCGGGAGGTCGAGTTTTCAGTCGATGATTGGGTTTTGGTTCGACTACAACCATACCGTCAACACTCTGTTCAGCTCCGTCGATTTCAGAAACTTGCTCTCGTTTACTTCGGGCCATTCCAAGTGATTGAGCGGATTGGTTCAGTCGCTTATCGTTTAGCACTTCCGGATCATGCCAAGATTCACCCAGTCTTCCATGTCTCTGTTCTTAAAAAGTTTTATGGGACCGAACCAGTTCGATCTTATCTGCCACTCCCTCTGTGTACTACTCCCGAAGGTCCCATTTGTCAACCAGTGACCATTCAGGACATGCGTTGGGTCCACCGTGGCAAAGACCGCGTTCAACAGCTCTTGGTTCAGTGGGATGGTGCTCTGGAACCCACCTGGGAGGATTATGAGGCCCTCAAGATGCTGTACCCATCAGTGGACCTTGAGGACAAGGTCCGAGCTTATGAGGGGGGTATTGTAACAGATGCGGACAATTTGGGCTTTGATGAGGATGATCCAAGAGTCGTGGAGCAGCCCAACATACTGCGAAGAAGCCAGCGAGCACGGAAGAGGCCTTGGAAACTTCGAGAACTAGAAAACACGGAATTGGGTATATAAGGACAGGTGGTTAGAGGGAAGGGGTGTGAATGATATTGTGATTTCCGTCCTGACAGATTCTCTGTAATCCTTTCCCCCTGCATTATTCTGACATTCTGTTCTTTCTGTTATTCTGTTTCGAGTGGCTCAATTCGTGAAGGCCGAATAAGCTCTGTAATTGCACTCTATTGATATGCATATATACATTCAGAGCTGTTAATTGCTTGCGTCGATTTTATTACACTCACTAACGTGACATTTGGTGCTTTCATTGAGAGACATATAGGGGACATGGCAGAGAATACACGCCTGAAGGAACTACAAGCTGATATGAAGAAGACGAATGAGTTTGTAGAAGGAGCTAAGGGGCGTTTTGACCAGATTGATCGACGATTCGATTCTATGGAATCACTGCTACATTCCCTAGTGCAGTCGATGGATAGCTGGAAGCAACAAACAGAATCGTCCCCACCAAGATTTAAGGAGTCAACCTCCGGCATACCAATTGTAGAATCGGTAAACTTCGGTCAGAACCCGCATAAAACCATTAAGGTGGATTTTCCACATTTCGACGGATCGGATGCGCTGGACTGGATTTTTAAGGCAGAAAGGTACTTCAAGTATTTTGAGATACAAGACCCGCAGAGGTTAATGATCGCGTCGGTACACCTTGATGGAGATGTGTTGCCGTGGTTCCAGATGATGGAAAAATCAGGAAGAATTCCGACTTGGAGTATATTCGCCAAGGCGGTAGAAGCTCAATACGGACCGACTCAATTTGAATGTCCACGGTCTCAGCTCTTTAAACTGACTCAACAAGGACTCGGGGGTAAACTGGAGGAATACAATCAGAAATTTCTAGCTCTAGCAAACCGGACCGAAGAAATCCCGGAGGCGGCCCTGTTGGATTGCTATCTTGGGGGACTATTGCCCGAGCTGAAACGGGATGTATTGCTGCAACGACCACCGACAGTATTACACGCCATGTCCATAGCACGACTATTTACAGACATGGCGACCACGGGATTTTCGGCAATGAAGAATTCGACTGGAAGTGGGAATATCCCGAAGGCTATAGTGCCTTACACTGGAGCTCGTTCCAACCCATCCGCAACGGGCCTGGGAGGAGGAAAGTCAAACTTACCTCCCTTATTACCAACGCCAAAAATGCCCCCCATTAAAAAAATGACAGCAGCAGAGATGCAGATACGGCGAGAAAAGGGACTCTACTATACCTGTGATGCCAAATTTACGCCAACGCACAGGTGCCCGAATAAACAGCTGATGTTATTACAGAGTGAAGGCGAGTCAAATGAAGAAGAAGATGAGACCCCTGAGATTATTGAAGCTGACGCTACGTTGCATCATTTATCGCTCTATGCGTTAAGAGGAACTCAAGGTCCAGCAACGATCCGATTTCAGGGCACTATTCAGGGAACGACGGTGCAAATACTCCTGGACGGAGGGAGTTCGGATAACTTCATACATCCTCGCATTGTAGCGCATCTAAGATTACCAATAGAAGAGGCAACTCCTATCCGAGTGTTGGGGGGAACGGGAGGCAAAATCCTAAAAAGTGCAGAAGAGGTCCGGGACGTAGGCATACAGATCAATGGCCACACGATTTTTTTGACCCTTTACGTACTACCAATCACGGGAACCGATGTGGTGATGGGGGCTGACTGGCTTGAGACACTTGGGGCCCACATTGCTGACTATAGCACATCCACCATCAAGTTTCTGCAGGATGGAGAATGGATTGCGTTGACGGGATTTAGAGGACCCACCGTGATATCAGCCCAATTTCACCACCTCAGTCGCCTGCAGCAAGTCGAGGCAGTAGCTGAATATTTTATGCTGGAAAGGATCATTGATGAGTCGGAACAAGGGACCGTAGAGCATCAGGGGGCACCGGAGGAACTCACGAATCTGCTTCATCGGTTTGCCAAGGTGTTTGAGAACCCACACGGTTTACCCCCTTCTAGAGGGCACGAGCACCGAATCGATTTATTACCAGGCACAGGTCCCGTGCGGGTACGACCATACCGCTACCCAGTCAGTTAGAAAGCTGAAATCGAAAACATGGTTTCAGAGTTGCTTCAGGAAGGATTAGTACAACCGAGTTCTAGTCCATTCTCCGCTCCTGTTATTTTGGTTAAGAAGAAGGATGGGACCTGGCGTTTTTGTGTGGATTATCGGGCTCTGAATGCAGCTACCATTAAAGATGCTTTTCCGATGCCAACAGTGGATGAACTCTTGGATGAACTATATGGATCGGAATTCTATTCTAAGCTGGATCTACGGTCGGGGTATCACCAAATTTTGATGCGCAAGGAGGATCGGGAGAAGACGGCCTTCCGCACTCATTTGGGGTTGTATGAATGGCTCGTGATGCCGTTTGGATTAACCAACGCCCCAGCCACATTTCAGGCACTCATGAACACAATCTTCAGACCATTCATCCGACGTTTTGTCTTAATTTTCTTCGATGACATATTAATTTACAGCCCCACATGGGAGTCCCATCTTACACACCTTGAAGCTGTTTTAAAGATTTTATTGCATCATCAATTATATGCAAAAATGCCGAAATGTACATTTGGCAGGCGGCGCGTGGAGTATCTGGGTCATATAGTTTCAGGGAATGGGGTTGAAATGGACCCGGAAAAATTAAAGGCTGTTCAGGATTGGCCCGTACCTGAATCAGTCAGCCAATTGAGGGGATTCTTAGGCTTGAGTGGGTACTATCGTAGATTTATTAAAAGTTACGCCCAGAAAGCAGAGCCCTTAACGAAATTACTATGCAAAAATGCTTTCATTTGGTCTTCAGCGGCCCAAATTGCTTTTGATAATCTGAAACAAGCTTTAACACAAGCCCCAGTATTAGCACTTCCTGATTTCTCCAAACCCTTTATCTTGGAGACGGATGCTTCGGGTAGCGGCATCGGCGCAGTATTGAGCCAAGAACAGCATCCCATTGCTTTCTTTTCAAGGCAACTCTCCCCACGCATGCAGAGGCAATCAGTATATGTACGCGAATTGTACGCCATCACTGAGGCGGTGGCCAAGTTCCGGCACTACCTCTTCGGTCACCCATTTATCATTCGAACTGACCATGCTAGCCTTCGGCATCTTACAGATCAAACCATTCAAACTCCTGAGCAAGAAGCATGCTTACCTAAGCTATTGGGATATCAGTTTTCTATCGAATATAAGCCTGGACGACACAACCAGGCGGCAGATGCCTTATCCCGTGTCACTTGCATGGCCCTGTCTGCAATCAATGATCCCTTGATGGATATGGTGGCTCGGGAGACTCAGTCATCGGACGAGATACAGGGATTAAAGAAAAGAATACAGCAAGGTGATAGTGTTGACCCACACTATAATATTCGGAATGGAGAATTATATTGGAATAATCGGTTGGTGATCCCCAATGATAAACCTCATTTAATCCATACTATTCTGACCGAGTTTCATTCGTCAGTCGTGGGAGGGCATGCTGGTTTTATGCGAACTCTGTACCGGATCGCTGGTATATTTTTTTGGAAACACATGCGCCGAGATGTACGCCACTATATTCGTAGTTGCTCTGTCTGTCAGCAAGCTAAGGTAGCGCAAGTGAGTCCTGCGGGGTTATTACAACCGTTACCCATTCCAGATCATATATGGGAAGACATTGCGATGGATTTCATTATAGGATTACCGGCGGTTAATCATTATGCAGCAATTCTGGTGGTTGTGGATCGCCTATCCAAATACTAACACTTTATTGCTCTTCCGGGTAACTTCTCGAGTATTCAGGTGGCCGAAGCTTTTGTTCAACATATTGTCAAGCTCCACGGTCTGCCCAAAACCATCGTGTCTGATCGTGATAAGGTCTTCATGAGTGCTTTCTGGCGCCATTTAATGAAATTACAGGGGACGAAGTTGCATTTCAGCTCCGCTTATCATCCCCAGTCAGACGGTCAATCTGAAGCTCTTAATAAGTGTCTTGAAATGTATCTACGGTGCTTTGTTCATGATTATCCACGACAGTGGCTTCGATTCTTACCATGGGCTGAGCTGTGGTATAACACTTCTTTCCATCATTCGACGGGAATGTCTCCATTTAAAATAGTATATGGTAGAGAGCCGCCACCTATCATTCGCCATTCTTCTCTTGAAGATACTCCTTTTGATGTGCATCACCAATTGGAACAAAGAGACGAACTCCTGGCTATTTTGAAGGCCAATATTAAAAGGGCCCAAGACAGAATGAAGAGATACGCCGATGCTAAACGGCGGGAGGTCGAGTTTTCAGTCGATGATTGGGTTTTGGTTCGACTACAACCATACCGTCAACACTCTGTTCAGCTCCGTCGATTTCAGAAACTTGCTCTCGTTTACTTCGGGCCATTCCAAGTGATTGAGCGGATTGGTTCAGTCGCTTATCGTTTAGCACTTCCGGATCATGCCAAGATTCACCCAGTCTTCCATGTCTCTGTTCTTAAAAAGTTTTATGGGACCGAACCAGTTCGATCTTATCTGCCACTCCCTCTGTGTACTACTCCCGAAGGTCCCATTTGTCAACCAGTGACCATTCAGGACATGCGTTGGGTCCACCGTGGCAAAGACCGCGTTCAACAGCTCTTGGTTCAGTGGGATGGTGCTCTGGAACCCACCTGGGAGGATTATGAGGCCCTCAAGATGCTGTACCCATCAGTGGACCTTGAGGACAAGGTCCGAGCTTATGAGGGGGGTATTGTAACAGATGCGGACAATTTGGGCTTTGATGAGGATGATCCAAGAGTCGTGGAGCAGCCCAACATACTGCGAAGAAGCCAGCGAGCACGGAAGAGGCCTTGGAAACTTCGAGAACTAGAAAACACGGAATTGGGTATATAAGGACAGGTGGTTAGAGGGAAGGGGTGTGAATGATATTGTGATTTCCGTCCTGACAGATTCTCTGTAATCCTTTCCCCCTGCATTATTCTGACATTCTGTTCTTTCTGTTATTCTGTTTCGAGTGGCTCAATTCGTGAAGGCCGAATAAGCTCTGTAATTGCACTCTATTGATATGCATATATACATTCAGAGCTGTTAATTGCTTGCGTCGATTTTATTACACTCACTAACGTGACAGCCACTTGCTCGATAGCCTTCCTCTTCCATTGGGGTATCTCAAATGAATCTTGTGTCCATGCTTGTTGAATATGTTGAGCAAAGGATTTTGGATCCACATCGTAATAAACTGTTATGACCCTATCTGGTAGACTCCGGCGGCCAGAGACACGGCACCCTTGTTTCAGAGCTTTCCTCCATCTGTTCACCTTGTCTATCCCTGCTTCGCACATTTCTTGTGGTTCAGGACCGACATGAGAACAGCACGACGTCAGAGCGCAAAAAACTGATGATGATGGGCGCCTACGCGGAGCTTCAATCTCAGGAGTAATGATGTGCCCAGCAACCTGTGACAGTTCCTCTAAACACCAACATGAAGAAGCATAGTTCTTGGAGAAGACAACAATCCAAATCCACGACTCACGAATTGCTTGAAGAAGGTGAGGTGGAAGATTGGAGCCTGGCGTTTCAAGCTTCTTATCATCTCCAAAGATTATGAAGCCTTCTGCTTTCAGAGCAGCCGAAAGGCTATGCATGAATTTACGAGTGTCTTCATCACCTCTAAAGCTGATATATACATGACTCGGTTTCAACGATGATGGGCTGCTCTCCAAATACTCCATGGGATAGAAATCCTTATCATCACCCTGTAACTAGTCAACGATAGAAGCAACAAGCAAGTCATAACCGGCTTTGGTTGCCTAGCATCTATCTATGCTCTGAAATAATGATGAATGCGCCGGTAATGTTCTTGTAGCCCAGTGGCAAGAGAGCTTTCTGTGAATGAAAAGTTGTTGGCTTATAACCTCATGACTTTAACGTATGCCCATTTAATTAAAAATAATATGGGCCACCACAAGAAATCTCAATTAATTTAGCTTTCATTTTTTAAATTTTAAATCCGTAAAGTCTTTCGGCAGAATCTTTCCAAGCCATTTTTTCATTGGATCACATGAAGGTGTTTGCATTGCGAAATTACGTTGGGCACCACCTCATCATCCCCTATATGCTTAGTCTCAATAAAGTTGACTTGCTTTGTATGCAATTAATATAATTTTTGGTTCCGGAAACTTGGATATGTTTTACTCTTGGTTTCTCAAATTTCAAAATTTTTAGTTCCTCGAATTTAGTCTAAGAGTGTAATGGTGCTAAAATCTATGAAAGTGTCATAATTAACATTAAAATAGTGATGCGAACTCACTAAATGATGCATAACTAGCTCTGATGTGGATAAACAAAAAAACACAGAGAGAAAGAGAGAAGATCCTCAAAACACAATGTAGAGGACGACAAAGGATGAATTCTTAAAATATAGTGAATAACTTCTCAGAGGAATGGCTATGTTTCGAGGACCTATTCGTGTTTTCTCCCCTCTTTATTATCTACACAAAATCCAATTACGCACTATTTTGTGAGTCCAACATCAATATTTTGGTGCTGTTTATGACACTTCAACAAATTTTAACACAATTATACCTCCAGGTTCTAGAAACTAACATTTTAAAACATATTAAATTCCAGGGATTAAAATCATGAGTTTGCAATTTGATGGACCCAAACTAAAATATGATCAAATTTTAAGAACCAAAAATTATGTTACCTTGATTGTGAGTTGTCATATTGTTATTTGTCCTGGAATATTAAATTGTTACTAATCATAGCCGGCTTTGTTGTCATTTTTTATTCAGCAATTACAACTTACACAAAATGCACTTGGATTACTCGAAGTACGCTGGTCTCTGCCCCACTATGCCACATGCGATAGGCATGCACAATATTTAGCAAGGTTCTAAAGGGAATGTTCAAGAGTCGCCGGTCAGATCGGCTAGGATTAAAGTAATATAATTTAATTAAAAATATTACATGCTATCCCAAGGCCAAATTACAATAATAATATGTTATTTACCAGCTAATGTAAAATACGTAACAAACCCGAGTTAATCATTATTTTTAATCCCAGCTACGTACGACCAGTTCACATTAGGTTCCTTTTACTTCTGGCAACCAGTGAATGCAGTTGTAAGAATACTCCATCACAGATCAGAGGTTCAGTCACATCTTACGTTTGAAGTTTAAAAATCGAAATTATTAAGAAGGGATAGACTACCGGGAAGAGGGAGCTCTGCAAATTGATGGGGTTAGCAGAGCTACGCGACAGACGGCGTACTGAGGATCACCGAGCATCCGTGAACGACGGCGACGGGTTGAGGAGCACGCGGACCAAGATGGTGACAGGCTGAGGACAACGACACCGAGTCAAGGAAAAATGAAGTGAGAGGATTGGAGATTTGCTTGGCTCGTTTCTGCGTTTGCCAGATGACTTAAGGAAGAAGCTATCAAGCTAATCAATCCTGCTTTTATCAATGGGAAGTAACGGTCCGATGGAAAAGTAGCCTCGGATCTTAATTATAAGAGCTAGTTGACTAATTTGAAGAGATTAAAAAATATGTTAAGTTAGTTATTTGTAATAAATATGTGTTGTCTTTCTTAAAATATCCTTACCAATTAAGTGTATTGGCTATAAGAAAAAAATAGGGGCTACACTTTGGGAGCAACTTATTGGTAAATCACACTGATTAAAGCTACATTTTTGTGGGATTTTATGGACAAAAATTGCATCTGGGTTTAAAAAATAACATGATGAATAATGATGGTTTAACATTTCATCAGTGAGTGGGCTTAAGATGTGCTCTGAACTAACAGCAAGGTTTGAATCCTTATGCGACTTATGCAATTGCAATTTGAAAGAGTATTACACAGAATGAAAGCGAACACAACAAATTCTGAGGACACGATACTACTCAAATACACACAAGCTTCAAATAAATCTACTTGTTTTATCCTTTTGTTAGTTGGAGAATAGAAAATATGGTCTGAAGAATGGCGAGAATTAGGAGCATGATTGCAGCAAAAGAGGCCACAGTTTGCCAAGGCATCCTGCAATAATCATGTCTCAAACTTGCTTTACTCTGTCGCAAACCATTTTCGCAGAACGTCTTCAACCTTTTGAAGATATCAACATTTTCAGGAATCAGCATTGTTAGACCGGCATTCTTTACCATGATTATAAATAACGGAGCAACCTCAGTATTAGTAATGAAGCTGCGGACTATTTTATTATTAACGAGGACATCCGCGTCTTCCTTTGTGTTGATTAGGTGACTCCATACAAGAGCATAGCTAGAAATAAAAGAGGTTTGACGACAATGGATCTGTTCAAAAGCTATCATATTAAAGAACAAAGCTTCGGTCACGAGATCCGTCACCAAAATCTTTGGAAGCTCCAGAACATGGCCTGAAAACTTGATGTCTAATGGGCTCTTGCTTTTGCTAGCCTTCAACTTTACTCCAAATCCTTGCAACTCCTTTGCACTGTATGAAAGAACATCAGTAGTGTAAAATAGTGGGTCCATTTTTTCTGGAGGTGCTCCTTGTAACAATAAAAACCTAAGCAAGTCTGTGAAATGCTTTACGCTTACATTATCAAGATCATGCTTTGGCATTTCAAGGTCAAATGTCACACTCAAGTACCAAGAAGCAAGCTTAAAAAAAGTGATTTCATCATCACGAAGGTTAGGGGGAAATGCTATATTGAATAGCTCTTCCAAAACAGAGAATGGTAGTTGGTTCTCAAAAAAAACTAAATCTAGAGGTAGAATTCCACTTAATGGTTGCTGTGACAGTTTAGCATCATTCAATATTATCTTCGGCTCATAATACGTAATGAAGAGAACTTCAATGATGAAAGCAGCATCCAATAATATTAACTTCACAAGTTCCTTGTCACTAAGGTTGATGTTCTCTGAATAAGAAGCGCGCACTTTCGTTACTGAACTTCTGACAAAATTAATAATAACATCCAACTTTGTGCTGCTTCTTTGAGTAAATCTTTTGAGAAAAGCTCGTTTGTGCCTTTCCATTTCTTGCAGCCTCTCATTACCGTAATGAAAGGGACCAATAGAAACAAACTTTGGAGTGTAAGCATTTGGTTTTATATCACGTGCTGTATGAATCACTCTAGAGATACAACAGTCTGGTGACACATAACCATATCCACTATCTCCGATCATAGTTTTGATGTCAACCATCACTTCGTCTTCCATCTATTAAATTTGATTTAGAAAGCAATCCAATAAGCAAAATAAAAGAAAGGAGGAACACTCTATATATAAACATATATATATTTATAGCACATCTCACATATTGAATCACTTTCATAGCATAAAGGGTTGAGGTTAATCCAATACTCTGAAATATTTTTCTGGTTGTGTTTATCACCTAAAAGTATCACGTAGTTCATTCGATACTCTAAAGTATTTTTTCATGTGTGTTCAACATCTTAACATATATGATGATTCATTTAGTATCTTTAAATATGTTTTTAGATACACCAAGAACCTTAATATGCATCCTAAATACCCTAACCCTTAGAATGTTTGATGTATCTTGTAAAATATTTCAGGGTGTTAAATGAACTATAAAATATTTGAGTATTTGAACGCACCTAAAAAAATATTTCAGAGTATTAGATGAACCATTAAATACTCTTAAGTACTGGATGCACTTGGAAAGAAGACTTCAAAATGCAGTATGAACCTCAACCCTAAGAAAAAAATAATTAAATGAACTATAAAATTGGTTAATAGCATAGGCATCAAATATTAGCAACTTATATATTGTAAGCATAATTATCATTGCTAAACAACGCGGTTTTTAAATAAATATATAGTGTAAACATTGTCAATTATCTTCCCTTTATATAGGATTTTTTTTTATTTGAAATGAAGACAACTTTATTAGTAGCCATATAAGACTATACATTAAAAAAGGTTTCAGTATAAAACCAAAAACCAAATCAAATTTATTGATGTACAAGACATATTGACATTTGTAAAGTAACGAGAAAAGAATATGATTAATTATTGTTTTTCGAGAATCTTTTATAGAGATTAGCTTCGATGCTCATAAGTGCTGTCACATTAAGTTTGGATGATCTAAAATGAATTATTTTCGCATTTTTAAGAAATTAATTACCCCCCTTCGTCTTATACAACTAATTCTCACATACCAAGAAATGAGAATTGAAGCATTAAATCTGTCCTAAATTAATAAAATTTTTTAAGATTAGCCCCAACTTAAATAACGCAGATAGATAAACAAGGAGTTTGATCAGCTTTTTAACCCTAAACCTTAATTAATACTCCCTCCGTTCCTTATTATAAGAGACAAATAACCGAATTACGTTGATAAAAAAAGTAGTTAAAATTAGTTAAGAATAATCAATGTGTAAAAGATATAATCTTTTTTCCAAAAATGCCCTCATTAATAAGGAGAAAGAGCATGAGAGAGAACAATTAAATTATTGAAAGAAAGATAAGTGGGAGGGAGAGAGAGTGTGAATTGGAGACAATAAATATGGATAAAATAGGAAATCAACACAAAAAAGTAGAGACAACTTTTAAGTGTCTCTTATATATAGGAACATGCCATAAGCATCAAATGTCTCTTATAATAAGGAACGGAGGGAGTAACAAAGATAAAATTGGAAAATAGCAATTAATGAGCTGGTTAATGACTACATCAAAGACCAGAATTTCTTGTAGATAGTGCCCTGTAATAAGGACCGGAGGGAGTAGTAAATACGTCTCTAGTCCTATTTATAAAACATTTTCAATATGTTTTATGTAGATTAAAGAAAATCTTAAATTGTATTAACTCTCTGTTAAAATATAATAATTTTTCAATTTTATCCCTATTTTATATATGCACCTTTCATAAAAATAATCATTTACACTATAATAAATGAAGGATAAAATACATTCAAGCTAAAAATTTAATGAGATAACTTATAAATAAAATCAAAAGAAACATTCTCTCTCTATCTTATAAATAACATCTAGGAGTAGAATTTAAAATAAAGATAATATCTTGATTATTACTTTTGTGGTCCTATTTACAAGTCAATACCAACATATTTCAAAAAGCAGCATTAAAATTCAACTTTTCAACTTTCTCTCTATTTTTTTTTTATGAGTAACTTTCTCTCTATTTAATTTAACATGTATTATACCCTATAAAAACAAAACCAAAATAATAATAAATAAATAATAAAATTATACATCTATATGAAAAAATTCTTTCTCTCCCTTATAAATAAGACCAAAAAATTTCTTCTCTTTACCTTATAAATAAGACTAAAACTTTCTCCAAAAAAAAAATTTAAGAACTTAAAATTTAAAAATTTAAATGTGAACTGTCCGGAGTAGATTTTGAAATGTTGATATATTTTATCACTGGAATGGGCACCAAAACCAAACTTCTTCCATAGCAGGTAACTAATACAATATAAGGGTAAGAATTAAGCTATTAATTTTGGAAGTAGCCATGCATTACTTTGCAATCTTACAAGGTTACCAAGAGAAAACGAGATAATTACATAAGAAAAGAATTCACAATGGAAGAGTGTAGATGATTAGTCATCAGTACCTTGGCGTTTGGGCGAGGAGTGACTAGCAAAATGCAGTTTTGTCGTCCTTGTATGCAACAATAAGCATTCTATTCGTTATATATAAGCCTAAGTTCATCCCCATACAAGCTAAAAGGGTGTTTATCTTGCAAGAAACAAAATATTTGTTTGGGAGAATCATAATAAGGCCCCATTAAAAGAACATAGTACCTATTTAATTACTTTAAACTATTTATATTTATTGTTTTTTTCCAAACTAATTTACTTCACTCATAAATTAATATATAGTCTACTTATCTATATAAGAATTTTAGAAACTATAACATATACTATGATTAAGTAATTTAATAATTTTTTAATATCTCCAAATAACAAGCGAATAGTGAAAACCTATTGTTATTTCCTGTTCTGAAACTTATTATTGCAAATTGCTAAATTGTTATGAAACATTTTTGTATGTTTCTTGCATAAGATTTTATTATAATTCTCCCGATACGTTGCAAGGAAGTAACATTGTTGGCTAAAACAAAGGAAGTAATATTCGTTTTTTCAAAATGCAACAAGGAAGTAATATTCGTTTTTTCTAAATGCAACAAGGAAGTAATATTCGTTTTTTCTAAATGCAAAAAGGAAGTAATATTCTGTTTTTTTAATGCAACAAGAAAGCAATATTCTTGAGGAAAAAAATATTTCGATGTTATTT